TAGTTGTAATAATTTTTAGGATATGGATAGACAGACAAAAATATACATCTTAGATATCTTTGGGTCATAATTTATCACTGAAACACAGATATTTTTATGATTAATTATTGTATTGTTCTTTCATAGCTAATGCAAAAATATTATTTTAACTTTTACATTAGTAAATAGGTTATATAATAAAATAACTAAATCTGTGAAGTAATAAAAAAGATTAAATAATGTTTAAAATTATTTAAATGGCATATTTACAAAGATAAAATCATGTACTATGGTTTTAAATCCAATTTATCTAATTTTTATTTTGTTATCAAGGTAGTCTGTATATACAGAATGACACATATTTACATGGCGGAGGGGTTGTAGTTCCTGCTGCGTCTGCTTTGACATTAAATCACCATAGTGTAGGTAAATGCAGGTTTTGTTCTATGTAAATAAGTGAGATGATGGGTCTTTTTACTAATCCATATTTACATGTATTACCCAGATTTTCACTGTTGAGAGTGAATCTTGTTAATAGCCATGGTGTTTTATGGAAATATATGTTGAAAAGTTAAATACCATGTAAACATAGGGAAGCATTACTATAGATGAGTTAAATATTATTATTCTTATTATTTGCCCTTATAATGTAAATGTGATAACTTAAATCCATTATTAAATTTAGTAATCCAATGAGCTGAAATACTTAAATAATATTTGGTATGGAAAGAGATATCTTTAGTTGCTCAAATGTTCATAAAGTTATACAGATGCATAGTGTCACACAGCTCAATGTCTGTGAAGAATTAACCACTTTGGGTGAGGGAGAAATTTCAGGACACCAGCTTTTGAAAAAATAAAACACAACTTTTCAGGCAGAGGTAGATTTACCAAAAGCTAATGAAACAGAAGTTTTAGGGCCTCTTATTACCACTGGCTATTTACTTCCAAGGCTTTGTAAGGGACCATAGCGATGTGTCTGAGCACATTTTTTGGGGTAACTTTTGCAAAAGCAAAATATTTAATCTGAAATTTACTGACTGGCCTCCCTTTGTTTTCTTTGTGAAAGTTAAGAAAGTGAAAGTGTTTTCTTTGTACTTTCCTCATTTTAAGTGGGATTGGAGTGATGCAGCAATTGTGAGATATGTCTAAAAACAAGCTGAGTTGGTGATGCACTAAGATTAAGTTTAATATGGTATAGTTATGTGATTCACAGTCTCTTACATGAATAGTTACATAAGAGCTAGCTGTCTCTGTGTAGGAATGGCTTTCTACCATCCATTATACCAATTTGGCTGGTGCCATTATCAGGAGTCCAAACTCCTACTGCTTCCTACATGACAGGCCAATCAATAGGATTTTGGGGCAAGGAACAGCAACTTTATTTGGAAAGCCAGCAGACCAAGAAGATGGTGGACTGGTGTCCCAAAGAACCATCTTGTGTGCTGTGCTTAATTTCTCAGTTGTGTCTGACTCTATGAGACCCCAAGGACTTGGCTCACCAGGCACCTCTTTCCATGGGGATTCTCCAGGCAAGAATACTGGAGTGGGTTTCCATGTGCTACTTCAGGGGATCTTCCCATCCCAATTAAAATTCAGGCTTCTTTATACTACCAGAGGAGGGAGTGTGGCTGGTTGTTGCAAACTTCTTGGTGCCAGAATCCTTTGTTTTTCAGCTGTTCATGTAGGTTTGGTTACAATCTTGCTGTAAACCTCCAACAAAACAGTTGTTATTTACTGTTCTACAACTTTCTCTGTGAATGGAAAGTGTTATACTTTTAAAGGTCAGAGCCTTAAGAATGGGCTATCATGCATATTTCAGGTTATAAGCAACATCCTTTTAGAGAGGTGCAGAGCCAACCTGACCAAGCACAGGCAAGAGAGCACAAGGGTTGGAGCTAAAGAGACAGATCCAACATGAAGTCAGATTTCTTCTCTGCTAAATCAGGTCACAAGGATGCTAGCACCTGAGTCAGAACCTGTATAAACATGTCCAACAACATCTAACACTAAAAGTGTAGAAATGGATGAAAAATTGGTCTAAAAATAAACATACTCAAAAGCTAGTCTATAAAAATTTGTCCTAGCTCTATAGCCTACAAACAAAGGAAACAGCAACCCTACAACTTTATGTGATAGCACTAGTGGTAAACAGTGAAACTGAAAGAATTTTTTCTAGATTATTATGAATAAAAAACATTCCAATCACCTATGCTAAAGTATTGAATTATCTTCCTATTCTTTCTTAAGTGCTATAATATTGCTTTATGTGAGGAGGCACTCAAAAACTATCATCCAAAAAACGCAAGAAAATGTATTTTAGAAGTAAGGGAATTATTAATAAAAGTACTGTGATTGTAATTTTTCTCTCTAAATATTTCTCAGTTTTGTATGCCTAATTTTATATATTTTTTTTAAAAATAAAGAGGGCCCAGATTATATAAACTCATAAAACTTGGTTCTGTCCCTTAAGGAATTTACAAAGATGAAATCCAAAAGGAGAATCTTTAGGAAAGAAGAGGTAATCCAACAACTTCTTTGTCATGACTGTCTAACTTGATTCCTGATGCTGTCACCACAGTCAGCCTTCAGGGAGACAGCCTAATTTTTCTTTATTTAAATCCCTTAAAATTTCCTTTCTTGGCCCTCAAAAAGAAAGTTTTCATCAAAAATGTTCAGTTCAGTCGCTCAGTCGTGTCTGACTCTTTCTGACCCCATGAATCGCAGCACACCAGGCCTCCCTGTCCATCACAAACTCCCGGAGTTTACTTAAACTCACATCCATAGAGTTGGTAATGCCATCCAGCCATCTCATCCTCTGTCATCTCCTTCTCCTTCTGCCCCCAATCCCTCAAAGCATCAGGGTCTTTTCCAGTAAGTCAACCCTTCGCATGAGGTGGCCAAAATATTGGAGTTTCAGCTTCAGCATCAGTCCTTCCAATGAACACCCAGGACTGATCTCCTTTAGGATGGACTGGTTGGAACTCTCCTCTTTCACTTTCATCAAGAGGCTTTTCAGTTCCTCTTCACTTTCTGCCATAAGGGTGGTGTCATCTGCATATCTGAGGTTATTGATATATCTCCCGGCAATCTTAATTTCATCTTGTGCTTCTTCCAGCCCAGCATTTCTCATGATGTATTCAGCATATAATTAAATAAGCAGGGTGTCAATATACAGCCTTGACCTACTCCTCTGCCTATTTGGAACCAGTCTGTTGTTCCACGTCCAGTTCTAACTGTTGCTTCCTGACCTGCATACAGGTTTCTCAAGAGGTGGGTCAGGTGGTCTGGTACTGCCATCTTTTGAAGAATTTTCTACAGTTTATTGTGATCCACACAGTCAAAGACTTTGGCATAGTCAATAAAGCAGAAATAGATGCTTTTCTGGAACTCTCTTGCTTTTTCGATAATCCAGCGGATGTTGGTAGTTTGATCTCTGTTGCAGTTAGACATTTTTTCATGGTAGTGTCAGTTCAGTTCAGTCGCTCAGCTGTGTCCAACTCTTTGTGACCCCATGAACCGCAGTACACCAGGCCTCCCTGTCCATCACCAACTTCCGGAGTCCACCCAAACTCATGTTCATTGACTTGGTGATGCCATTCAACCATCTCATCCTCTGTCGTCCCCTTCTCCTCCTGCCCTCAATCTTTTCCAGCATCAGGGTCTTTTATAACGAGTCAGCTCTTCACATCAGGTGGCCAAAGTATTGGAGTTTCAGCTTCAGCATCAGTTCTCCCAATGAATATTCAGGACTGGTTTCCTTTAGGACTGACTGGTTTGATATCCTTGCAGTCCAAGGGACTCTCAAGCGTCTTCTCCAACACCACAGTTCAAAACCATCAATTCTTCAGCGCTCAGCTTTCTTTATAGTCCAACTCTCACATCTGTACATGACTACTGGAAAAACCATAGCCTTGACTAGGTAGACCTTTGTTGGCAAAGTAATGTCTCTGCTTTTTAATATGCTGTTTAGGTTGGTCATAACTTTCCTTCCAAGGAGTAAGCATCTTTTAATTTCATGACTGCAGTCACCATCTGCAGTGATTTTGGAGCCCAGAAAAATAAAGTCTGACACTGTTTCTACTGTTTCCCCATCTATTCGCCATGAAGTGATGGGACCAGATGCCATGATCTTAGTTTTCTGAATGTTGAGCTTTAAGCCAGTTTTTTCACTCTTCTCTTTCACTTTCATCAAGAGGC